TGCAGATGGGCAGGGGCAGGGGGAATGTTTCCATGAAGGTCATTAGAAGGTCAGGCCAAAATGAGGGAAGCTTATGTCTCTATTGTACAGAACCAAAGATCAGTGCAACCTCAGGTAGGAGGAGGTGTAGGGGAACAGGTTAGTCCTGTCTAATCATATGGGTTCTTAAGAGTGGAGAATCTTTATAGGCTATGGGCAGAGAATAATGTGACTACAGAAGAATGTTCAGAGATATGCAACACTGTTCATTTTGAAAGATGAAGGAAGGGACCCCAAGCTAAGGAATGCAGGTGGTCTTTAGAAGCTGGAAAAGGCGAGGAAATGGATTCATCTTCTAGAGTCTCTAAAAGGAATACAGCCTTGCAGACATCTCGGTTTTAACCCAGTGTGACTCTTGTCAGACTTCTGAACTACAACACTACAAGAGAATAAATTTATGTTGTTTTAAGCCACCCAGTTTGCAGTAGTTTGTTACCGCAACAATAGAAACTTATACAGTAGTAGAGAACTAATAAGTACAGACCTCTCAGAGTGGGACCAGTTCTGGAATTCCTTAATCCAAACTCCTCCATTATTAGACAGCTCTTCCATATGAATAATTTCCTCATTAGCCTCCTATATTCCTAGACAGTGTGACAGCATAAAATAAAGTCAAAACAAATAGACTTAATGAGTTGGCTTATCTTGATTTTATAAACATTTTCTCATTGATCAAAGGTAGTCTTTTTTTTCCCAATTCTGTTCACTCAGAATGTGCCAAGTATTCAGTCTTGTCTGACTCTTTGCAACCCTGTGGAGTATAGCCCACCAGGCTCCTCTGTCCATGGGATTTTCCAGGCAAGAATACTGAAGTGGGTTGCCATTTTCTACTCCAGGGGCTCTTGCTGACCCAGGGGTCAAACCTGTGTCTCTTGCATCTCCTGTATTGAAGGTGGATTCTTTACCCGCTGAGCCGTCAAAGAAACCCTAGTCCCACCCACGCACACTCAGAATAGTCCCATCCAAACACACTTCTTCTGAAATGAGTTCATGTACATATCCCCTAAATATTGCCTGGGTTTTGTCCTTTAGGACCTTTGGAAATTAACTTTTACATTAACCGTTTAGATGCCAAGATGGGTCACTGACACCTTCACAGATAGGATTTAACTAAAGCTTAAATGAAAATGTACCAGTGTGCTACTGAGAGCAAAGCAATCCTGGCTGAAGAGTGCTCAGGACGGCTCTGATTCTGAGAGTCAGGGAGAGGAAAGAACTCAGGCACTGCAGCGCAGGGTGTCATATTGACCCCACTCTCACTATGCTGCGGACACCGCAGGGTTGCTCTAGGAAGGAATCTCCCTTAAAAAGCAGCCATTAGGCAAAAAAATACTAAAATAATTTTTAATTGAAGTGTGGTTGATTTACAATGATGTATTAGTTTCAGGTGTATGGCAAAGTGATTCAGAATATATATATATATATATGTGTATTCTGGGCTTAGTTGCTCAGTTGTGTCTGACTCTTTGCGACCCCATGGACTATATAGCCCACCAGACTCCTCTCACCATGGAATTTAGCAGGCAAGAATACTGGAGTGGGTTACTGTACCCTCCTCCAGGGATCTTCCCACCCCAGGGATTGAACCAGGTCTCCTGCATGACAGGCAGATTCTTTACCGTCTGAGCCACCAGGAAGCCCAAGAATACTGGACTGGGTAGCCTCTCCCTTCTCCAGGGGATCTTCCCGACCCAGGGATTGAGCTGGGGTCTCCTGCATTGCAGGTGGATTCTTTACCAACTGAGCTACCAGCGAAATCTATTTTAAAATATATATATATATATATATATTTTTTTCTTTTCTATCATAGGTAATTATAAGATATTGTCTATAGTTCCCTGTGCTATACATAGATTCTTGTTGTTTATAAAATTATTGGTTTTCAGGATTAAAATGAACATTTACAGTCAAAAGACTAAAAGATTTTGAAAAGGTAATGGGTCTATCTTCTTCCTTCCCAGAGTGATCTTTCTGCCCTGTCTTGCAGCTCAGGAAGGAAGAGAAGGTGCAGAGATGCAGAGGCATCTACTTTCCAAAGAGGAAAACAAATCCTACTTTTCAACAGTAAGAGGGTCCCAGTCACTGAATCACAAATTTTTTTCAAATCATGTTTCCCTAGACCTCTTTTTACCTCAAAACCTTCTGAAACTTTTAGACCAGAAGATATATCAAAGGCATACCATTCCATTGTTTTATTCCATTTCACTGAATTAAATTCGTGTTTATTGAGCACCTATTATCAGTCAGGTGTTGTATTAAAAGTTGAGAAAACAAATCAATAAAATACAGTGTTTAACTCACTGTTAAGTGGGGAAATGGCAGAAAAATTTTCAGTTGAGAGGTTAGTGCTGTAACTGTTGTTGTTTAGTCTCTAAGTCGTGTCTGACTCTTTGCCACCCCACGGACTGTAGCCCGCCAGGCTCCTCTGTCCATGGGATTCCCCAGGCTAAAATACTGGAGTGAGTTGCCATTCCCTTCTCCAGGGGATCTTCCTGATCCAGGGCTGGAACTTGTGTCTCCTGCATTGACAGGTGGATTCTTTACCTCTGAGCCACCATGGAACCCCAGTATTATAGCAAGAGTAAATATAAAGGGTAGGGGAAGCAGAGAAGGTGCCAAGCTGAGATGGCTTCATGAATGTGGGACCTAGGTAGCCTCATAGGGGCCCATACTTGGTTTCTTGTGTCCAGTCTTGAAATTCTTAACCATTTTTAAATAGAGGAGACTGCATTTTTCATTTTGCCGTAGATGCTGCAATTTGTGTAGCTGGTCTTCCTGACAGGGTGGTCTCAAGGGCAGCCTGTTCCTTCTGTGCTATACTCCGCTCTTGCTCAAGGACTGTGGGATCACACACCTTCTGGAGATCCTTGCTGCGGGAGGGACTGAGGCATCTCTTCCTATGGGTCCCGGACATTCCTAGTACAGTGCCAGGCAAAACCCCTCATCCACCAGCTTGTTTGGCGCTGTTCTGGGGTATACACAAAGGTGAATTCGGCATTGCCTCTCTTCAGGGGAGGGCTTCCCTGGTGGCTCAGTGGTGAAGAACACACTTGCCAATGCAGGAGACGTGGATTTGATCTCTGGGCTGGGAAGATCTCCTGGAGAAGGAAATGGCAGCCCACTCCAGTATTCTTGCCTGGGAAATCCTATGGACAGGAGGAGCCTGGTGGGGTACAGTCCAAGAGGTTGCCAAGAGTTAGGCATGACTTAGTAGACAGCAATAACTCTTCAGGGGAAGCTCACATTTTAAAGGGTGAAGACTATATATATTCACAAGCAACTGATGTGGCCAGTGCTAGAAGCAGGGCAGTAGTTGCTCTGGGAGGCCAGGGAAGGATGTGCAGGGATCATGGTGTGCGTGGAACATTTATGACCTTTGTGTGTGGTTTCCTTCTCCTGGTTCTCTTGGCAGAGTCATTTTCTTTCTCATGATTTTATTTTCCTGAATGAGGGTCCAGAGAAAGGAAGATTTGGTAGTGCAGTTCTGAAGACTCAGAAAGGCAAAAAACTTGGACTTATCTGAGCAGTGGCCATCTACCCCTGAGACTTCACAGCAGGTTCTAGAAGCCCTCCCACCCCCCCTACCCCCAGACTGTGTGAATGGCTGCAGGTAACTCTGCAGTCCGACAAAGTCATCAACAGCCAACATACGGTCCTTCAACGTACTTTCTAATAACTTTTCCCTGGGTAATCTTATCTTATCCATATCTTTTACCTCCTCACTTGGAAATGTCTTGAATGTTATCTTTATTAGAGGTAGAAGGATTTTTAAAAAGGAATCTCCATCTGATGCTTTTCATTGGGCATCCAAAGAAAGGATCTAGGGGAGATTTAGGTTTTTTTTCTTCCTCTCTGATAGAAGAATGATTAATAAATGTCTAGCCTGAAAGGTGGCCCCCAATAGAAAAACTGCCCTCTTTTGGTACCATGCTCTGTAGAGGCAGGGTTCCTGCCCCATCACTGTCTCCAGTGTACCTAGAACAATGCCGGACACCTGGTCAGCGCTCAATCAACAGCTGGTGTAAAAATGGAGGCAGAGTGAATGCTCTCTGGGATGCGAGTTTCCAAAAGCAATTTTGAAAGGTATAACGGAGCTTCCAGAGCTTAAGCTGCTGAAAGTGAGCCAACTGTGGGAAGATCTTGGCCCACTCAGGATTCTGGACTGTATCTACTTTTGAACACCATGGTTATGCGTCCTTGATGCCTAGCGATTGGATCCATTAATTTGGGCTTTCCCTGGATTGGTCGGTTGCGTGTTGTTCACTTGGAGAGAGCCGCAGAAACCTGAAACTGAGCAGGATCCTATGGCAGGGGTCCCTAAGCCCAAGGCTCTAGGCTGGTACTGGTCCGGGGTCTGTTAGGGACAGGGCCGCACAGCAGGAGATGAGTGGAAGGTGAGTAAGTCTATGGAAAAATTGTCTTCCATGATACCAGCCCCTGGTGCCAAAATGATTGGGGGTCACTGCCCTTTGGGGCTTTCCAAGGGCAGACCCCACCCCCATAGCCTCTGCCTTGGCTCCTCTCTGAAGTAACTAGATAATAGTATCTCATGTATATTTCCAGAGTTTCTCAGATGCTAACAACCACCACCAAATGGAAGAAATTAACTACTTGACGGTCAGGGGCATTTGGCCCCCAGGCCTTCTCATGCCTAAGGATTGATCATGTTGCTTAGCCAATCAGAGAACTGTGCACGAGTGGATTGCTTATCCTGTAGCCCCCCTCCCTCACCAGGCCTTTCAAAATACTTTGCTGAAACCTTCTGGGAAGTTGGGGGTTTGGGGGTAAGAGCCACCCATTTTCCTTGCATGGCCTGCAGTAAGCCTTTCTCTGTTCCAAACACCAACATTTCGGTACTGTTTGGCCTCACTGTGCCGTCAGGCACAAGGACTTGGCCTTTGGGAACAAGAGAAACAGAGGCTTGAGCCCCTTTTCAGATTTCCCAGCTGAGCTGATTGGCCATGGCATTAATCCACATAACCAAGTACCCTTCCACGCAGAAGCAGCAGACGCAGGGTCACAGCCTAGCACAAGCACGTACGCCTTTCATGGAGCACTGTGCTCTCTCAGAGCCGAGTCTCACCTTGGAGATTGATGATGCTCCGAAGTCACGGGGAGCTGGAGCCCATCTCCACCGACAGCCATCTGGCTTTTGGATTCCAGTCACATTCTCCACCAGCCGAGGGGAGTGCTCAAGGTGAGGAGGAGCTCTGAGGAGCTGAACTTCTGCCCCTTATTTCCTTATGAGAGGACCTAGGGCTTCTGATAAAATAACACCTAGCATTTTTTTCACTTGATGAGAAGGGGCAGAGAAAGCAAAACCAGGTAAAACAGAATGCATTTAAAATAGAATAGCTCTGTAGTTGAAAACCTGAGATCAGACTCCTGCCCTGGATGTCTTTCTCCTCCTTTGTGTGAGGAATAGCAACTCACTGTTGACCAGATGACTACCATCATCATCATTATGATGATGATGATGATGATGCATCAGATTTGTGCAAGGGACTTCGTCTCATGTTTATGATTTATTAAAGGGGAGATAATTCTTTGAAGTGAATTGACTTTTCATCTGGGAAGTGTCTACTGAGCTCTGGTTCGCTTAGCTCAAGCAGCCAAAACACAGGGCTCATTTTCACTTCTGAACTTGAGCGCTTTTGTACACAACCTCTGTGGTTTAGAATTTAATACTTAGGTGAAAAGTAAAAGCCAGATACAGTTTTTGTAAAAACTTTTTTAGCCTGTTTTTTTTTTTTTTTTTGTAAATCCCTTTGGGAGGACTTTTGTCATATTGGTAGTCAAAATGACGTTAAATTAGAAAAAAGAGAAAATAGCTTACCTGAAGAAAAGAAAGACTTGAGTTGGAAGCAAATGTTGTCACCTGCACGGCGCGATCCTAATGCTGGCACTTAGATCAGCTTATGCTGTCTCCCCGTCCCCAGTGCATCCTCCACAGCGATGGGCTCGTAGAGGTGAGCATGTCCTCTCTTGATTAAACTTGTGGATGGTTTTGCATTGCTTGCTGCCCAGTGTCTGACACACAATAGACAGAAAGAAGACACAAGTTGAATTTGCTTGTTGGAGATTCCCATTTACGGTCCTGATAGGCCTTAGGGAAGGAGAGAGAGAGAGATTTTTGACTGATTACTATTAAAGTGGGATGCTTTCCTTATGCTTGTTGGGCTTCTCTGTGAAAATTTTCTGTATGTATCCCTCATCTACTTTTCTGATGTGGTGGGTATGCTCTTCTTTTTTGGTTTCCACACATATTGTTTAAACAGTTTCTGGTAACATGTGATGGGCCAGTTCTTTGTTCTCTTGGCCATGAATATGCATGTGTATACACACACACACACATACAACTCTTCTGTGACCTCTGCTGTGGGCCATCATTTGGTAAATTGCGCTTAAGTTGCTTCACCAAAGAAGTCCTAGATTCATATTCTTTTCTTTAAAACCTTGCCTTTCTCCCTGTCCCAGACCTGAAGTGCACCTAGGTGGTATTAACATTGACATTGTCTAGGCATTTAAGTCTCACCAATGAAGTCTTTTCATTTTTAATTTTATTTTTAAAATTTATTTTATTGAAATATAGTTGATCTACATGTGTTAATTTCTGCTGGACTGCAGAGTGATTCAGTTATGCACACACACACACATACACACATGTGCTTTCATATTCTTTTCCATTATGGCTTATCACAGGATATTGAATATAGATTTCCTATGCTATACAGTAGGACCTTGTTGTTTATCCATCCTATATATAATAGTTTGCATCTGCTCATCCCAAACTCCCAGTCCAACCATTCCCCAGCCCTCTTTGTCAACCACACGTCTATTCTCTCTTGCCAATATAGTGTTAAGGACAGTGTTTAAATAAATTCCTTCGTGAGGGAGGCCTAAGCTGTGTTCTGGAATAAGCACTCTTCCAGCTGTTGGGAATCCTTTCCAGGGTCCTTGCGCTGCCTGTTGCCCCTGACTGCAGCCTGCTCCATTTCCCTTTAGCTCTGCCTGCAGCTGGGGATGAAGGAGTAGGAAAGGAACGGATGTGCAGTGAGTGCACTGAGGGACACTTCCTGCAGTCTTGTCATTGGGCAACTTGTGCAAAAGACACACTCCCTTCCCACACCTCTTCCTCCGCTCCTGAACTTGGCCAAGTTGGGTGGTTGAGCCATAAAGACAACATAGGCTTCAGTTATGAAAAAAAATATGAGTCCATAAGTGGTTAAGAATTTGAGGGAATGCTTTAGATAATAAGTGCCATAGAAGTCAAAGAAAGGTGAGATCCTTGGGAACTAAAAGGATGGGGAAATATTGCTAGAGAAAACGGAACTTGACTTGGAATTTGAAGAGTGGCTAGTTTGAATTGCAGAGATCCTCCAGGTGAGGAGAGAGAGTCTGAAATGGGGTTTCTGTCGCAGACATAGGGAAGTAGATGGATTCATTGGGCAGGTCTGGTTATCATGTGGTCTGGGGATCAGGTAAAGCCTGGGCTCTGGGCTGAAGACCTGCTGGGGACTTCTGAGCTGGTAGGAGGATGATGCGGGCAACAGTGTGTTAACGAGAGGGGAGGAAAGAACCTGGGCAGTAGGAAAACCTTCTGCTGTTGCCCAGTAGTCCACCTGGAGGACGGCTTCTGAGGAGACCTAGAGCAGACAGGCTTGGCCAGATAAGGGATCTGAGGAGACCTAGAGCAGACAGGCTTGGCCAGATAAGGGATCTGAGGGCTGACTGTGCCTCAGTCAGAAGTTTAAGACCTGACTCTTTTGCGGGGTCCCCGACAGTGGTACGTAGGGTGGGAGGGAACTCTGGGTCTCGTCTTTGGTGAAAGAACCACAGGGCTGGCTCAGCTGTGAAGCCTGAAGGGCGTGTCCTGGTTCTCTGAAGGTCGGCGCCTCTGTCTCCCAGCCGCTCTCGGCTGTTGTCACCCAGCTTCCTGCGGCTCTCCGGCGCTGCCCTGGGCTGTGGGCGGCTCTCCGGCGCTGCCCTGGGCTGTGGGCGGCTTCACGAGGCCACCGGACGGCCTGTGGCTCGCCTGCCGCTCCTGACGCTGATTCGCCCCGCTGCGGCCACGCTTTGCTGGGAACTGGGGTGTGTGTGATAAAGGACTTATCAGCCCAGACCTGGCGTGTGGCTCTTTCCTCTGGGTGCAGGGAAGTCTGCTGCGCTCAGTCTGCTGTTTCCGGAGCTCTGTTCGGGAAGGGCCTAGGTGCCCTTTGCTCTCCACTTTTCCCAGCCTGTCATCATACTTCCTGCTCTCCCCTAACACACACACACACACACACACACACACACACACCCCACACACACACCCATATGAATGCAGTAGGACCTCTCTGCTTCTCTGCATCTCCTTCAGCTCTCCCTTCCTCTGGGGAAGAGGGTCTTTATCTGACCCTGGGGTAGGGTAGAGCTTCCCCAGTAGCTCAGTGGTAAAGAATCCACCTGCCAATGCAGGGGATGCGAGTTCGATCCCTGGGTCCAGAAGATCCCATGGAAGAGGGCATGGTAACCCACTCCAGTATTGTTGCCTGGGAAATCTCATGGACAGAGGGGCCTGGCAGGCTACAGTCCATAGCATCACAAAGAGGCAGACACAACTGAAGCGACAGAGCACGTATGGGGTGGGGTAAGTGTGGGGCTTGGCGCTTCTTCACATCACCTCTTTCCAATTGTTTCGCCTAAAACACAGCAGAGGCATTTGAATGAAGAACTGACTCCTGTGTTTTCCACTTTTTGCTACCCCATCTCTTCCCTGAGGTAATTAATACCACACAAGAAGAGTAGGAATAATAAAAAATATTAGGAAAAAAATCCCAACTAGTAATCCAGTATATGAAGCAAATTTGGTGATGGGAGCATATCCTGCTATTTTACTTAAAATTGTGTTTTTGTTATTTTCTTGTCTCATAAAATATTTTTCTAAAACATGATTTTTTAATGGCTGCTTTATTTAACTACTTTTCCATTGTTAGGATTCATTGTGTCATAGTTTGTTAGGCTCCTTTAACAAAATACCCTGGAAAGGTGCCCTATAAATAGCAGAAGTGTGTTGCTCACAGTTCTGGAGGCTGGAAGTCTGAAGTAAGGGTGCCAGTATGGCTGGGGAAGAGCCTTCTTCTGGGTTTCAAACTTTACTTTGTATCCTGACCTGGTGGAAGGAGGCCAGGGATCTCTCTGAAGCCTCTTGTATAAGAACACTAATCTTATTCATGAGGGTCCCACCTTCATGACCTATCCACTTCCCAAAGGCCCACCTACTAATATTATAGGGTTAGGATTTCAGCTTATGAAGTTTAGGGAGAAACAACATTCTGATGATAGTACTTTTTTTCCCCATTTTTTCCTCCCCAATTTCAAGTAACTTAGTGATGGAAAACATTGCATGTAAGACTTTGGCTACGTTTCTCTTTATTTCCTTAACATGGATTCCTAAAGAGGAATTACAGAGTCAAAGCACATAAACATTTGAAGGACTCTTGATGACTGTGTCCAAATTGCCCTCCAACCACGTGGCTTCAAACCCTCCAAACCACAGCACCTATTTATTCACACTGTCAGCAGCCTTATTATATTGAGTGTCATCAGTTCTTAGAATCATCTCCATTTGGAGATTTGATCTTTCTGTGTAGTTTTAAGTGGAATGTCTTTATCTGTAGTGAGGCTGATATTCAAAAAGTATTGGGAAGCTCTCTGGAGAAGTGTGGGTTTGGGTTTGTAAGAGAAGACGGGAAGCACTTGATAGACTTGGGAAGGGATTTCCATGGGTGCCCAGGAAGGCAGGAAAGAAAGTGGGGTGAGAAACAGGGAGGAGGGAGTGGAGTCAGGACTTCCAGGTGCCACCTAGACCTTCAGTTACTTGTGAATCTCAGTGTGGTCACGCTCACTTTTATTTTGCAGCCACAATATATAAAAAAAAACCAAACAACAAACTTCCTTCTCTTTTTTTCTAAGTAAATGAGAAGACAGGAAAACTCTGAGGCTGATGTACAGCACATTCCAAGTGGGACCCATTTGCTGGCTAAGCAGTAGATCAGCACAAATTACGAACATTTAGACACGTGTTAACCCACTAATTGAGGGTAGGGGGACACTGGAGGGTGCCTCCTCCCTAGATGCCCTTGATCTTTCCCCTCCTGACTCCTGAAACACCAATTAACACTCCCAGTCAATACTAGAAAACATATGGTGAGGATAAACAGCACCCCATAAAGAATCTCACCCCTGCTTGTCACAGGACATTAACCGACCCAAACTGGCACCCCTAGGGGGAGGCAACAGCAAACTGTAATGGAAAAGTTACTATCTTCCTATTTAACTTTGTATTTGAGTCTAAAAGCACATAAGAAAGGGGTGTGTGTGTGTGTGTGTGTGTGTGTGTGTGTGTGTGTGTGTGTGTGTGTGTGTGTTGGGTCTTTGTATTATTGATTTGGTATAAAGGCTGCCTAACAGCAAAGGTAGAGAGAGGAGTGAGTACATGGTGTATTTTGAGACTCATCCAAATAATTTCCTAAGTGAAGTCTGCATCATCTCCCTGTGTCAAGCAGTGCCTCTCCCCCCCGGAGTACCTGTGTCATGGGAAGACTTGAGGAGTCCCTGAGCGTGGATACATTCACCCTTCTCACTCGTTCCTCAAAGGAGAAGCTGCCTTAGAGGAAGGGCGCTCTCATGACCTCCCTGGGGTGGATGGCGGCACTGGCCCTTTGGTTGAGGGCTCTCTGTAGACAGTGTTCTCTAGTGTGGGCCTTCCATTTCCCATCCCAAACCACTGGTTCCCAAGAATTGGGAACTTTGCTCCCCTGTTCTGCCTGCCTGTGGTGGACAGAATGATGGCTGCAAAGCTGTCCATGTCCTGAGCCCTGGAACCCATCAATATGTTAGGTTACATGGCAAAGAGAATTAAGGTTGCAGGTGGAATTAAGTTTGCAAATTAGCTGACCTTGAATTGGGAAGAGTACACTGAATGAGCTAGACTCAATATAATTACAAGAACTCTTACTAGTGGCAGAGGAAGACAGAGAGAGAGGACCAGGGTGAAGGAAGAGTGAGGAGGGGTTAGACCAATGTTGTTGGCTTTGAAGATGCAGAAGTAGGACCATGAGCCAAGGATGCAGGTGGCTTCTGTGAGCTGAGAAAAGCGGAAAAAAAAAAAAAAAGATCATCCCTTAGATTCTCAATAAAGAATGTACCCCTCTGTTCTGTGAAAGAATTTTAGAAATAAAAGCAAAAATAAACAAATGGGACCTAATGAAACTTAAAAGCTTTTGCATAACAAAGGAAACTATAAGCAAGGTGAAAAGACAGCCCTCAGATTGGGAGAAAATAATAGCAAACGAAGCAACAGACAAAGGATTAATCTCAAAAATATACAAGCAACTCCTCCAGCTCAACTCCAGAAAAATAAATGACCCAATCAAAAAATGGGCCAAAGAACTGAACAGACATTTCTCCAAGGAAGACATACAGATGGCTAACAAACACATGAAAAGATGCTCAACATCACTCATTATCAGAGAAATGCAAATCAAAACCACAATGAGGTACCATTACACACCAGTCAGGATGGCTGCTATCCAAAAGTCTACAAGCAATAAATGCTGGAGAGGGTGTGGAGAAAAGGGAACCCTCTTACACTGTTGGTGGGAATGCAAACTAGTACAGCCACTATGGAAAACAGTGTGGAGATTTCTTAAAAAGCTGGAAATAGAACTGCCATATGACCCAGCAATCCCACTTCTGGGCATACACACTGAGGAAACCAGATCTGAAAGAGACACGTGCACCCCAATGTTCATTGCAGCACTGTTTATAATAGCCAGGACATGGAAGCAACCTAGATGCCCATCAGCAGACGAATGGATGAGGAAGCTGTGGTACATATACACCATGGAATATTACTCAGCCATTAAAAAGAATTCATTTGAATCAGTTCTAATGAGATGGATGAAACTGGAGCCCATTATACAGAGCAAAGTAAGCCAGAAAGATAAAGACCATTACAGTATACTAACACATATATATGGAATTTAGAAAGATGGTAACGATAACCCTATGTGCAAAACAGAAAAAGAGACTCAGATGTATAGAACAGACTTGTGGACTCTGGGGGAAGGCGAGGGTGGGATGTTTCAAGAGAACAGCATCGAAACACGTATATTATCTAGGGTGAAACAGATCACCAGCCCAGGTTGGGTGCATGAGACAAGTGCTCGGGCCTGGTGCACTGGGAAGACCCGGAGGGATCGGGTGGAGAGGGAGGTGGGAGGGGGGACCGGGATGGGGAATACATGTAAATCCATGGCTAATTCATTTCAATGTATGACAAAAACCACTACAATGATGTAAAGTAATTAGCCTCCAACTAATAAAAATAAATGAAAAAAAAAAAAAGAATGTACCCCTGATGATACCTTGGTGTTAGTCTTGTGAGACCCATTTTAAACCTCTGAGATCCAGAACCTTAAGATAATAAATTTGTGGTAATTGTTACAGGATCAACAGGAAATGAATACAATGTCCAAGATGTCCATTCATAGCCTGGGACCCTAGTAGGGATATTGACTGAGTCCCCAATGCCATAGCCCTTCTGAGTTTGTCCTGAATCTCTTGGCTGGTACATGTTGATTGTTTGGTAGAAGCTTATAATGTCCAAGAATGGGACACCCGGGAAGACACTGCAGAGTATTTCTAGACTATGCAAGCTGGGTTAGTGAGGAGATAGGAAAGATACAAGGTGATATTTTGAGACCTGGAGCATTGTCAGTTGTACTTGTGTGGTTCCTGTTTTAAGTCATTCGGACCTACTGTACACTTGAAATCCTCCTTGTGTTCCCTTCAGCCTAGGCAGTTACTCTAAAAGGTCCCTGCTATTCAGAAGACTAAGAATCATGAAAAGGAGGTTTTTGTCTTCAAAGCAGTGGACTGACTAGAAACATGTATTCGTTTATTCAATGTGCATTAACTTAAAGATTTTGGTATAGAAGCTGGCATGAGGATACATATCTCCTGCCCAGGAAAGGAAAATGTGTGGGAATGTCCACCTCAAGGACATGGGATCTACCCTTGAAATACTTATCCCCTAGTCAAGGAACTGAGACAGAT